ATTTCGAGCCACCACAATCCATCACGTATTCTGCCCTTGACCATAGGCACATGACATCCAAGAACTCCTTGTTTCCTCTTTGCGGTAGCCGACAATCTCTCTTCCCAAAACTCCCCTGCCAGGCTGGCCTGGGGTGGCCTATAACAATCACACGTAGTACGTGGTAGTCTTCTCGACGGGGGAAAACAGAGCAGCGATACTCTGCACGTACGGGGGCCAGTAATGCAAGTCGGTCCACGCACAGGATATCGTTACATCGAAGTGTAGCCCAGCGCCCGGGGTCGGGCACCCGGGTTTCAGCGCCCACAACCTATCTGATCTGCAGGCTTGAAGTAGGTGCAACATATACGTACGTTTGGCGAGTGGGTGGGTGTTTGTCAATTACGACAATAGGCTTAAGGCCCAGCTTGGCATGGTCGGAAAGTCCCCTGATCTCTGAATTTTGTGGGGCTCCACTCTTATTGAAACTCAACCCAGATAACGACCGCTAGGTAATAAGACAAGGGAGAACGCGATAGGCATGAGTGATGGGTCAATAGCTACTCAGTGGCACGCCATTACCGGATAACCGGGCTTGCACAACCAAAGCGAGGGAGCGTGCCGCCATAGGCAACCTTGCCCCAACGAGCAAGCCCCGTCCGCTCGGCGTCATGGTAGAGAATCATATGAAATGGGCCGGTGGTTTGTTAGATATTTCCTGCGTAGGTTCCAGCAACCTGACACGATCCCCGTGCTACAATAGCACGCTGGCGCGCGTGCACTCGCAATTTCGTGCGGTCCGGGCGCAGAGTGGCACATAAACACACTCGAGAGGATTGAACATACTGCTGTACGTACTGTACAGTAGAAGAGGAGTAAACAAAAGCGATAAGACAATTGCGGCGCGGCACGGACACCCCTGGCCTACATGCCCTACTTGCTCAATCAGCCAATCGAAGGCTTCTACCGCTTAGACCTAGAAGGCAGGACCCTGTAGTATTCGTAATGTGAAATGGAGTTCGGGCTGTCGAGGTGGGACAAGACAAGCCTGATTCAGTGACACTCCGAGAAGCACACTGCACAATGTAGCAGCCACCCAATGTGCGGTTCTTCCATCTAGCGCAATATTTCCCAAATGGGCCCTTGTCAAATGACGCGAGCTGCAAGGAAACATGCGTGCTTCAGAGAAACTACATAGAATGTCCACAAGATGGGCATCTCATCCCGTGATGGCGAGCTAGTTCGTAGAGGCGCTCAAGCCAAGAGGCGGGGAAGTGGGAGTGAAAGGGGGACGGGGGACAGGTTAACGTTCTTAGCTGACGGGTGGCGTGGTACCGCTAAAAAGCTTATTTCCGAACTGGCTTCTCGAAGGAAGTCCCGCAGGGTTGGCAGGGGGGGGGGGTTCTCTAGGCGGATTCGCTGTGTAACCAACGACATGGGAAGCTAACTGACGTTAATCCATTTGGTTTTCGATGTTCAAGTTCAGTCAGTTCCACTGCACCATGGCCTCTCACAAGGGAGACGCCACTTTCCATGCTGGCAGGGTTGGTCTAAACTTCGTCATGCTAAATCGAAGAGCTAGGGTCCTGGGGCTTTGATAACGCAGGCCCATAATCATGACTGACGTTCTGAGTGCTCGCGTTATGCGCGTGCCAGCGGAGAGGTGACTGCCGGTATAGCATTGTAGACTGTAGAACCATTTTCTACCCATAGCCCGTGCAGAATCAATACTGAGTGTATACGGGGCGCGGAAATCATGGATCATTTCGAAAATCAAGGCTGCTCATCAGATACGTACTGATGCCCCTTGACCACCCAATGATATTGACGTGGTACAACTCATTCTCGACTGCTCGATGCTGGGGTAAGTTCTCAGAGTGGGACTTTTAGACGTGATCCAGCCAGCAATATCGACCCTCGTCGCCTCGACTCTACCCTAGATAAGGCTTGACCTCCTGGCATCTAGAGCACCTGCCACATTGGGGGCTACTCATACAAGTCATTCGTTACGAGGCCGTGATCTCGGTGGCTGTCTCACAAGCGCCTATCACTAGTTCTAGAATGTGATGTGTGCATGGAACGCCATGCAACCTATCCCCATGTCTGGTGCTATTTGTGCGGCGCGACCCAAGGTGGCCAAAGCAACAAGGGTAAGGGGACCGAGTGGTGGGTGCACTTAGAAGATAGAGGGGGGCAGCGATCTCTCCCTACACCCTGCCGTGAAATGCACTGAGAAGCATACTTATAATAATAGCATCACCCACTTCTCGTGAGTCTCTGAGACTTGCCAGGTTGTCTCCCATCCTTGGGTTAATACCGTACTCTGGAGTCTCAAAGAGCCAGTTGAAGGCCAAAAATGAGTAAGTCAGGCTCTTGCAGCTCCTCTGGTTGATTGTTCAAAGACTGGCTCAAACGAGCGATGTGCTTGAGAAAATAATAAAAGGTGATCATGATGCTGATTTGTTCATGCAGCTGCAACCAAATCCACCGAGCTGGCGGTCACGGCGATTCCTCCTCATGAGGAGCCGCCGGCTGTCCACCCCGAGGTTGGCACGAAGCCGGATATTGAGGCGGCGAGCGATGATAACGCTGTGTACGACTACGAGAAGTACCCGCCACCGACCGACGAGGAGCTTTCCACGTTGCGCAAAGTCCCTGATAGCATCCCGGCTGTGGCCTATGTTCTTTGCTTCGCCGAGCTCTGTGAGCGTGCCTCGTACTATGGTGTCTACACCGTCTTCAACAATTTCATGGAGTTCCCCCTTCCCGAAGGTGGCCCCGGTAGTGGTGCAGTTGCCAAGGACGACCCCGACGGCACTGCCGGTGCCTTAGGAAAGGGGCTTCAGTTCGCTTCTGCCTTGGGCCTTCTCTTTATCTTCATGTCTTACGTCTTCCCGCTCTTCGGTGCTTATATCGCCGACACCAAGCTCGGTCGTTATAAGACGATCATGCTTGGTGTCATCATCGGTGGTATCGCGCACATTATCATGGTTGGTGGAGCCGCTCCGTCCCTCCTCAAGGCTAACAAGGGTGTTGCCCCTTTTATGATCTCGTTCTTCCTCCTGGCCATTGGTGCTGGTATTTTCAAGCCGAATGTAGCCCCTACAGTCCTCGACCAGTACACCCACCAGAAGCCCTATGTAAGGGTGTTGAAGTCGGGCGAGCGTGTCCTGGTCGACCCCGAGACCACCATCCAGAGAATCATGACCATCTACTACGGTTTCGTTAACGTGGGCGCCTTTTTCGAGATTGCCTCAACCTACGCCGAGAAGTACGTTGGATACTGGCTGGCCTTCCTAATCCCTGGTATCTTGTACATCCTGGTGCCTTTCTTCTTCCTTGCGGTGCAGAAGAAGATCATCAAGAAGCCCCCGAAGGGCTCCGAGCTCACCGATTTCATCAAGATCACCTGGACTTCCTTGACCGCCAGCAAGTTCCAGTTCTGGAGGAAGGACTTCTGGGACGCTGCCCGGCCGCAGACCTTGGCTGCCAAGGGCATCACAGTAAGGTACCCCAACCGCCTCGTGACTGATGTCAGCCGAACTTGGGAGGCTTGCGCAATATTCTTGTACTTCCCGATTTACTACTCCAACGATGGCGGTATCGGCGCCGTGTCCTCCAACCAGGGTGCTTCCATGACCACCAACGGTGCCCCGAACGATTTGCTCAATAGTTTCAATCCGCTGGTGATTTGCGTTTTCACTCCGATTGTCGCCTACGGTCTGTACCCACTGCTTAACCGCTTTGGCATCCGTTTCGGACGCATAAAGCGAATTACTTTCGGCTTCCTGCTTTGCGCAATCTCCGGTATCTGCGGTGGCCTCGTCCAGTTATATGTCTACCGCACTAGCCCTTGCGGTTACTATGCCAGCACTTGTGATGGCGTATCCCCAATCTCCATCTGGTGGCAAGTTCCCAACACCGCCCTCGGCGCCATCTCTGAAATCTTTGCCAACGTCACATCGTATGAGCTTGCATACGCTCGTGCCCCGCCCAACATGAAGGGTGCTGTCATGGCCATCTGCCTGTTCATGAGTTCCCTTCAGGCTGCTCTGGGCGAGATCCTAGTCCCTGCCATCATCGATCCTCACCTTGTGGTAAGTAATCTTCTGCTCCTCTCCATTGCTCTTGGCCTCTCATGGCCCGTCCACTTGAAATGGATTTAGCCCAATGCTGATGTATTATTTCCGTATCGATAGTGGGTTTGGATTGGTCCTGCCATTGCGCTCTTTGCACAGACTGCCATCTTCTGGGTGCGTCACCGGCACGTCGATGAAGACGCATTCATGGTATATGAATCCGATGAGGAGCCGGTGATCGAGACGGCTCATTTGGAGCAGGAGAAGCTTTGAGCGAACTCAATGAGCAAATTTCAGTATTTGCTGGTTCATAAGTGTCCATTCCTACGGTCTGGCCGCCGTTGTAGACCTCTCGTCATCGCTTGCTGGAAACTAATTCAGGCGAAGGGAATAAATATTTGCCTTGATGAATAACTGGCTTGACCATAGTTTGCCGCCCAGTCCATCTATTCCAGAATTCTTTTCATTCCCTTTCTTTGAGAGATTCCCATCGGTATTGCAGTAGTAGGAGTAGCATTACTGGTAGTGCCTAGTTGTAGTTGCTCTTTGCCAACACTTTAATCTTGGCCACCACCCCCACTCTCCGCTCTTGCCTGCCTTGAATGTTACGCATCGCGACATTTCGAATATGTCTAGCTAACTAGGTCTTCCTCCTAGCATCAAATAGCAATCCAGTAAATTGTTTCCCATCTGACTCTACCTGCTCATTGCTGCTAACGGAAGACTGGATCCATGACGTAGAGGACTCTTGGCGTTTGTACATCCCCGCCAAGAAGATCTTTGCGAAAGTCCAGAGAAACAATCATAGTGCACACACACAATTCATAGGTAATGAAGTAGGCATTCAAAAATCTAAACAGAGAAAAAGAAAAAATTTTAGTCTGGGAGGGTATTACGAAGCGGTTCGCAAAAGGAGACAAATCAAAAAGAAACTCAAAAAGTTGTCCTCGGCGAGGTTCGAACTCGCGGCCTTCAGATATCTTGAAGTTATCAAGTCATACTTATTTAGTATGAGACTGACGCTCTAACCAACTGAGCCACGAAGACTGCCGAATGGTGGTGTTCCATTGGATGATGACTGGTATTGCTTAAGAATACTTAATACCCTAATGTGGGGTAGTAATTTTGACACCATGAAAAATGTGGGTTCCGTAAAGTGTTCACGTTACAGATTTTTCCAGAGCACGCATCTCCCTCAAACAGGAACCTCAGACTGGCAAGATTGAAGGATATTTTTACTGTTGATAACTATGTCCCGTCAAGCTTACTACCACCGGCATAATATGAGCCATACACTAGACAAGCAATATTCCAGTCTCCGCTCTGCCTGGTCACTGCAAAAGAGCCAAGTCGTAAAGTACATAACAGAGGACAACAGCATGTTCAGATATTTTAATAATATTCAAAATTCGATTGAGATGAACTGGTTGACACTGCTGTGCGAAATACAGATGAAAAAGCTGCAAGGGCTCGTCGCCCCTAAATTGAGGACCGGTACAATTCATGACAACGTTGTAGAAGCAAAACAAATTCTGCCTAACTGTATTCTATTAACTGCCTTTTTGTCTATCTACTGGCTTCATCATGGCCAGATGCACGAGAGGCATCATCATCTGGGTCTCCAGTCCAGACAAGTGCCCTCCCTACTGGCTTCTTCCAGTCGTTTGAGGCCTGCGTCCTTCTTGGTTGTATTCAAACCATGACGCACCAAAAAAAACACGAATACCGAAACCCATGCAACCCAACTTTTTGTGCTGATCAGGGGAAATGGCTGAACAAAAGAAAATAACAGAAAAAAAAATAAGGGTGTTGGCCATGTTCGTGATGGTAATTACTTCATACGTCAGGGGTCGTAAATGTGCAAGAGATTTCTGGTGTGTGACTTTTAAAAGTCATCCTCATCAGAGAAGACCTCCTCACCACGCTTTCGGCGGGCCATACGCTCCTTCTTCTTCTTTCGGGCCTCAGAGCTGGTAAGCTTGGCCTTCTTCTTGGTGGTGACGATCTTGTTACCCATAGCATCGAACTTGTCCTCCTCGTCGCCATCATCGGCCTTGAGTCTAGGTCCAGAACCCTGACCCTGGACCCAGTTGTGTCCGGAAGGAGTCATCTTACCGTCCATGACGGCCCAGACTTCCTCAGTCAAGTCCTTGGTGAACTCGGCAGAGTGGGTAATGATGATGACACCACCCTCGAACTTCTTCAGGGCCTTAGACAGAGCACCCAGCGAGTCACGATCCAGATAGTTGGTAGGCTCATCAAGGACGATCAAGTGAGGTCGCTGCCACGAGCAAGCGGACAGGACGACCTTGACACGCTGACCACCGGAAAGACCGCGCATACGCGAGTGCGAGACAAGCTCGGCATCCAGGCCAAAGTTGGCGCAGTGGGACTCGATCTCCTTACGGACCAGAGGACGGAACTGACCAGAGGCCAGGGCCTCCTTCATATCGACATCAGCAACCATCTTCTGGTGAGAAGCCAACAGCTCGCTTCGAGGCAACCAAGCGTTATCGGCAGTCATCATGGGCACCCATCTCTCGTTCTTCATGCCAATGTTCTCACCCAGGGCAAACGAACACTCGTACTCGTAGCTGTTCTTGAACTTTCTACGGCCGTGAATGCCAATGACACGTCTCTGAGTGCCCTCAACTCTGAAGATCTTGTCCATGGCCTTCTCATCATCCTCGGTGATGATCTTGTTGGCACGGTCCATGGTCTCACGGTCCTCACCAGTCTGGAAACGCCACTGGATGTACTCGGAAGGAGTCTTGTCCAAGTGGTTATCAATGTGGGCGAAAGCGTGCTGCTTGATGTAGGCGATACGGATGTTCTCGTGCTGGTAGATCTCACCGGCGGTAGGGATCAGCTCACCAGTAAGAACGTTGATGAGAGTAGACTTTCCGGCACCGTTGGGACCAATGACAGCGATACGCGAGCCGAGCGAGCACTGGAAAGTGATGTCACTGATCTGGGGCTTGGCAGTACCAGGGTACTGGAAGCTCATCTTGGTGGCACGGAGGATGGCCTTGGCCTTGGTCTTGACACCCTCGAGGAAACCGGGCTCAGGGAAGGAGAACTCGATCTCGGATTCGCCAAGCTCGTAGTAGGACTTGGCGGAAGGGTTCTTCCTGACAAACTCCTTCAAGTTACCCTTGTAACGCTTGAGCTTGAAGCGCTCGTAGTGAATGATGTACTGGGTAACGTTGTCGAGGAAACCACTGTCGTGAGAAACGATAATGGAAGTGCAAGGAGAGTTGATGAGGTAGTCCTCCAGCCACTTAACGTTCTTCACGTCCAAGTGGTTAGTAGGCTCATCAAGAAGCAAGATATCGGGAGCCTCGAAGACGGCACGGCAAAGAGCCAGCTTCATCTTCCAACCACCAGACAGAGCGCTGATCTCACCGGAAACCATGGCCTCGGTGAAGCCGAACTCGTCAAGGCGGGCCTTGACATCAGCCTCAGCGGTGTCGACACCGGCCTCCTTGAGCTTCTTCATGGTCCACTCAATGGTGGTCATTTCAGTATCCTCAGAGTCCAAGTCGTGCTCGACGAAGACAGTCTTGACCTCGCTCTGCTTGGGGAAACCCTCGACCTGCTCGTTGTTGATGGCACGCATGAGAGTAGACTTGCCGGAACCGTTGGGGCCGCAAAGACCGTAGCGGCGACCACGCTTCAAGCGCAGGTGGGTCTGGTTGAGCAGAATCTTGGCACCGTAGGCCAGGGAGAAAGTGCAGTTGCAAAGGTCCTCACCCTCGTCGTCGTCGAGCTCCTCAGCCTCGGCATCCTCAGCACCAGGAGAGGCACGCTTGCGGAGAGAGTCAACAACGGACTCGGCGTCGGCATCGCCAACAAGGACGGTGACGAAAGGCTTGATGGCAGCAGCCCAGGTGGCGCTCTCGATCTCCTTCTCGTCGATGAGCTGACCACCAATGGCAGAGACGTACTCAAGGACAGGGGCGAGCTTGTCAGCAACGGCGGCGTGCTTGCTAGGAATAGCAGCCTTGAGGTGAGTCAAGACGGTGGCAATGTCGCCATCGTGGCGAACCTCGGGGATCTTGCCGTCCTTGACATCACCAACGCGGGTGAGGGTGTCAAGAGCCTGCTTGGTCTTTTCACGAGCCTCAGGATCAGCCAGGTTGTCGTAGTTCTTCTGGAGACCAGGCATCATCTTGGGCAAGAAAGGAGCAACAATGTTGGGGTCGTCGACGAGCTTGCACATGTTGTCAACAATGACGGCGGCCTTTCGCTTGATGGCGGTCTCACGCTCAGCAAGACCACGGTCGAGCAGGGGAACCATCAGAGCAAGAGTGGGCTCTTGGACCTCAGTGACGAAAGTGGTGGCACCGAGCAAGTGGACGGTCTCAGGGACGTTCTCAGGCTTGGCAATACACTTGATAAGCTCAGGAATGAAACGCTCGATATCCTTGTTCACGATCAACTCGCAGATCTTCTCCATAGTCTTGTAGGCACGCTCCTTGACCTCCTTCTTGGTATCCCACATCGACTCAGAGATGACGGGAATCAACTCGGGGACACGGAAAGCCAGCTGAGCGGGAGCGACACGGACGAGAGTCTCGATGCATTCGAGAGCAGTCATCTTCTCCTGCCACTTCTGGGCAGTGAGGATAGAGTTGACGATGGCGGGCAAGACAGCCTTCACAGCGTTGGGGGTGATAGCCTCAACAATTGCCAAGGAGGCAGCAATAGCAGCGTTCTTGACGCCGGTGATCTTGTCACCGGTAGCGGCCAGAGTCAGGGGAAGGAGGACAACCAAGTATGGCTCGACGTTGGCAGCAATCTCGGCGTGCTGGGCAATGGCCTGGATGGCATTGGCAGCCTTCTCACGGGCAGCGGCATCCTTCTTGCTGGTGATCTGAGCCTTGAGGGCCTCAACGGTCCTATGGGTAAAAATCCGTTAGCAATGTGTAATTGTTGTAGACAGTCGACTTTTGTGCGGTGAGAACGTGGTTGATATACAGCGTATGCAGGGATTCAAGGCACACTTTCACATGCAAGCACACGATTGGCTGCGAGATAAAACTCGCAGGGCTACCAGGTGAGCGCCTGAAGCCAGTCATGTGATGCGATCAAGTTGAGGATTTGTTGAGAACGGTGGCCCACTCTCCCTCCCCTCTCGAGCCTGAGCATCCGACTGTGGTTGAATAAAGGGAACAAAAGAGAAACCCAAATATATCGAGATCGAGACCATTACTCGATAATATTTTAGAGTCTCTGACACTTACTTGACGGGGGCCTCCTGATCCTGGGTGCGGCCGTTAATGAAGCTGGCGATAGCGCCAGAAGCCTCCTTGACGTCAGCAGCCTCCTTGGAGACAGTGAGCTTGGCCATCAGGTCGTTCAAGACCTTGACGGACTCTGCGTTTTCCTTGGCAGACATTTTGAATTTCTTTCGGAGAAAAGATTATTGTATATGTGCCGGAAGGTGAGATGTACGGAGGTAGGATCGATCGAATATGTCTCAAATCGGTCGATAGTCTTCGTCTAGAAGATCGAGTAAAGAACAACAGAGGATTCTAGACCGTGCCGTACGTCTATGCGAATCTTTATGTGCGTCTATTTGGTATGGCCGAAAAAAGGCAGCAGAGTGACGAGCCCACAGGTGCTGACGGAGAAATCAGACCTGTTCTATGATGGCTTATCGCGCTCTGGCGGGGTATCAGAAACGGAATCACTGAGTGGAGAGCTCAGATGAGATTCCTTCTTTTCTGAGAAAAGAAAAAGAGAGAGATGTATAATGAAAATGGAGATGTGGAAGGGAGAGGGGAAAAGAGTAAGAGATGAGAGCTGAGGGGAGGCTGAGGGAGACTTTTTTATTTCTCTGGGAACCCCTCGCTGAGTGGACTTTTTTTTTTTGCGGCCCAAAATAATTTTTTTTTTCCCTGCTCTTCCCTGGCGAGGGGCAACAACCGAATTTTTGGTGGGATGGCGGAAAATGGAGGGGAAGGCGCCTCCGATTGCAGGGTGCCAGCCCACTTTGCACTTGCCTCACAAGAAAAAAAAAATCCACCGAGCGCACGGACCAG